GGTAAAAGCGATATTTGGGCCCCACGATGATTTGGTTTAACTTATGTGTCGGGCCCGGTCAGGACTGAATTGATGTGTTCAATTAAGTTCTATGGCAGACGAATCAGAGATCGAGAAACAAACTGCTGGACAATAAGTATGACTATGTTCCATGTAATTGTCCGCACGATATCTAGAACGAAGGACTATACGATCCCTTATCTAAAGGACAAGTTATTGATAAGATCAAGAGTTTTGAGAACTGCGATTGCTAATCGGATCCAGAAGTTACATTTGCATTTGTAGTTATTAGACTTATCCAAGTGGGAGATTGTTGGATTAGTGTCTAAGTCCATAACTATATTTGGTATGTACTTGACCCGGTTGTGCATGGTCCTTTTGGGTTGCCTTCACCAAAGCAACTTGACTGGATGAATAATGGAAAAAGAGGTTATTATGGTTTATTAATATATTATAAGAATAATATATTCAAGGAGAAATCATATTTGTTTAATTAACATTGGTCAAGAATTAATTAAGAATTAATTTTGTGGTCAAAAGAAGTTAATTGAACTAAGGGGACTGAATTGTAATTATGTGATAGTTACAAGGTTAGGCAAGGAAACCCTAAATGATAGGGTGGACGAATTCTAAGGATAAGGCCTTAAGAATTCGTCCATAATGGGGATTCTAGAGTTATCTTATGGGCTGCTTGGTGGCTAAGTAACCAGATAAGGATAATGACTGAAACCCTAATTCCCACACCTATATAAGGACCCCTTGGGCATGAGAATTCGACTACAACTAACCCTAGAAGTCTTGGAGCCGAGTTTTCCCTCTCCCCTCTCTCTCTCTCTCTCTCCCTCTCTCTCTTGCTTCATCCAATTGCTATTGGTGTTTGTGATTCATTAGAGGCACAACATTTGAGGTGCTAAGGTTCTCAAAGCTTCAAGATCTACAATCAACAATCAAGGTATTCATCTAACTTGTTTATTTGATATTCAATTAGATTTTGTTGTATGCTAGAATAGGGTTCTTCAAGTCTTGGACAATATGCATGAATCTTTAGAAAAACTAGATGCAAGCATTAGGGTTTGCATGAACACCATACGCATGTTGTTTTCCTCATAACCCATCATCAGAGGCATGATTTTTCGACTTTTAAGCTTGAACAAATTAGCTATGCATCAAATACAAAAGAGAAACGATCTAGGCTCTGATACTACTGTTGGGTTATGAGTAAAACAACATTCATATGGTGTTCATGCAAACCCTAATGCTTGGATCTAGTTTTTCTATTTGTACATGCAACAATTGCCCAAGACTTGCAAACCCTAATCTAGCATACAACAAAACGAAATTAACATCTAATAAACAAGTTAGAAAGTTATCTTTGATTGTTGCTTGAAGATCTTGAGCTACTGCGAAACCAAACATCTCAAATGCGATGCCTCTAATGAATCACAAACACCAAAATCAATTGGATGATCTTGGAGAGAGGGGAAGGCTAAAATCGGCTCTTGAAATATCTAGGGTTCAAGTGGTAGTTGAATTGGGGAGCCAGGGGGTTCCTTATATAGCCGAGGAATTAGGGTTTCAGTCAAAGACCTCATCTAGTTGCCTAGACTCTAAGCAGCCCACAAGAATCTTCCAGAATCAAGCCCCTTGGACGATTTCAACATGGGCTTCCCCATAAAATCGTCCAACCCTTTTCCTAGGGTTCCTCAGCCCAAAGTGCAATTATCTTATAATTACAAGTTAAGTCCCCTTAATTCAATTAACCTCTTTTGACCACAAAATTAATTTTAATTTAATTCTTGACCAATGTTAATTAAATAATATGATTTCTTTTTTAATATATTATTCAAATAGTATATTAATAAACCATAATAACCTCTTTCTCCATTATTTATCTAGTCAAGTTGCTTTGGTGAAGACAACCCAAAAGGACCATGCTACAACCGGGTTAAGTACATACCAAATATAGTTATGGCTTAGACACCTAATCCAACACTAAACTAGCTTAATATGTGATTTTTGAAATAAACTCAATCATTTAGAGATCGGAAAGAGTTGAGAGTTTGGAAGAATTATTGAGATTTTTTTTTTTTGTAAAATGAAAGAAAAAGAACATAAAGCATTTTATATCTCAAAATTATAGAATCAATATTTTCGTACATAATATTCACAAGAGAAATTAAATATCTTCCTATATTTTATTCCTACTATCCTCCTACCCATATTAAATGGTGACAAGTGGACTAAAATATTATCACTTTCATTAAATGTGTCATTAAATGTGACACATGTCAATATTTGATATGGTAGGAAGATAAGTATGAATAAAATATAGGAGGATATTTAATTTCTCTATTCACAACTACGAAAATCATCAAAACGTCATTTTGATGACATTCGCAGATGACTATGTAAAAATTATTCTTGTATTAGTAAACCTTTTAATTTTTGCTTAGGGGCTGTTTGTTTGGCCTCTTAATGATCTCATAAAGAGGCTGGCTCTGAATCGTTCAGATTCAGAGCGTTTGGTTGACACTATTTCAGCCTCTTAATCGGCCAGACATTAAAAAATATTCTCTTATTCGGTTAGATGAGATAAGGAGTCTGGATGGTAATTATTCCTTTCATACCCTTGCCCTAAAAACAGATACAAGGCGTCCGCCACTTTTTTTATGCGCCCTTCTTCTTCTTCTTCGAGCGTCTTCTTCCCAAAGTCCTCTTCCCTGCGTCGATTTCAATCAGCCACCGTCGGACCTCCAACGCCGGACAACCTCTGCCTTCGTCGCTTCCTTCCTCGCCGTCTCCCCCTTCACCGGTACGTTTTTCTATTTTTTCTAGCATACCTCGCTTCCTTCTTCTTCTTCCCTGCGTTGATGTGTTGTTGTTGTTTCATTGTTGTATTGCTGGTGTTTTGTTGCTGTTTTCATGTTGATTTGTTGTTTTCTTGCTGTTAGATGTGATTATAAGTCTGAAAATATGTGTTCTTGCTGTTTTGTTGATGTTTTGTTGCTGTTTCTTGCTAATTTGCTATTTATCTATGATTGGAAGTTCAAACAATATGTGTTCTTGTTGATTTGCTGCTATGATTTTTTTTGTCATTGCTGGATTTTCTTGTTGAAACATGTTGTTGGTGAATTTTGAATACTAGACATTGCACAAAAAAGGCCAAGAATTAATTGGAAACAGATAGAAGGTGTGGAAAAAACATTTCTTGAAGCTTGTATTCAAGAAATTACTACTTATGGACGTGAAGGGAGTAGTTTGAAAGCGAACTCATGGAAGAATGTAGCTGAAAGATTGAAAACAAATTACAATTTTTTAGTTGATCAAAAGCAGATGAAAAACCGATACGACTACTTGAAATCAAAGTATTGTGCTTGGTTGAAATTAAAAAACAAAACAGGCAACGTCTATAACCCCATAACTAACACGTTTAACATGGTTGCAAAGTAGTCGGTCTATAACCGCTGAAGAAAAGTTAGCTATGTTTTTTACTGTCATCGGACACAATGAGCGGTTTAGAATGGTTAAACGCAGATTTCAACATTCAACAGAAACAATTCATAGGTGTTTTCATGAGGTTCGAAATGCGATGATGAATTTTGCCAGAGAAATTATTGTGCCAACATATTCTAGTGTAACCGCAAACACATCAGGACGACATAGAAGGTTGAAAGAAATATTTCCGAGAGCGATAGGTGCGTTAGATGGAACTCTTGTACATGCAGTCGTGCCCGCTGATCAACAAACTCGTTATAGGGGAAGAGGAAAAGGTGAATGCTATCCAAATGTTATTGGAATTTGTAATTTTGATATGATATTCACGTTTGTATGAGCCGGTTGGGAGGGCATAGCACACGATTCACGAGTTCTAAAAGAAGTTGTATTTAACCCAACTTCCGACTTTCCATTTCCTCCATCAGGTTTGTAATTTTTTTTAACTTTGATTATTAAATACATTATCTATTTTTCATATAACAATTGCGAAATTAACATTTATAGACAAATATTACCTTTGTGATGCCGCATACACCAACACTCGTGGATTTATGGCTCCCTACCGCAATACGAGGTATTGGTTATCCGATTTCCGAAGACAACATGCATTAACCAAGGAGGAAAAGTTCAACCATGCTCACGCACAACTCATAAATGTTATTGAGCGCGCTTATGGAGTTTTAAAGGCGAGATTCCCAATCCTAAAGCAAATGACTCATTATCCTTTTCCAATACAAAGAGACATAGTGCTTGCTTGTTTTGCACCATAATTTTATTAGGAAATGTAATATTCGTGATCAATTATTTATAGACTTCGAAGAGGAAACTATGTTTACTACTGAAGAAAGTGGAGGAAGTGATGACCAAAGCGTACATGACATTCAATGGAGTAACCAAGACAACGAATATATGACTAATTTGCGTAACCAAATTGCTAATCAATTACTTTAAAGTTGTATGCTCACGATTATGTTTAATTTGGATGTTGTATGATGTTTAATTTAGATGTTGTATGAATTTTAATTTGTATTTTGTATTATGTTTAATTTGGATTTTATATGAAGTTTTGTATTTTATTTATAATTATTTACAAATTCAGTATCATTCAGCACAATCATTCAGTCCAACCAATCAGTAACAAATAGTTCAGAAGGATAAAATAGTCATTTTCACCGTTAAGAGACAGATATTCAGATGTCTGACCAAACATCAAATTATCATTCAGATACAGATTCATACAGAGCCTCTACATTATCCAGATATCTGCATCATCCAGATATGAATAATCCAGATGCTACCAAACAGCCCCTTAGTTTTTAGAAAATGGTAAATGAAATTGGGCCAAATATTTATTGTTCAAGGAAAAAAAGTTGTTTATTTTATTAAATGTTTATAAAATGATATTTTTGTGATATATATGGTGGTTGGTTGCATTTTCCGTGTTCTCATCACTCATAAAGCACATATATATATATATATACAGAGAGACATGTATAGTCGCTTCTCACCCGTAGGAGATAGGAAAGATATAGAGAGAGAAAGTAGTGAGAGAAACAAACCCAAATATCTCTGTTCTCTCTCTCTCTTTTTCTTCCTTGATATATATAGTTTCACACTAGTTACGCACACAAGAAATTGAGGAAAATGAGCTTGATTTCCATTCCAATATTATCGTAGAATTTCAGATCTAGAAAATTCCATGCGGTTCCACGAAGAATTTTGCTGCATTTTCTCCGAAGGATCACTCTGTCAACGTTCTTTCTTTATTGTTCTTGATATTTCATCTGTTTAATCGAGAAACGTGCAATCGGATTTAGTTTTTTCCGTGGTTCTTGATTCAACTTCACGGCGGGAAGTATTGGTGAGTCTATTAGAGTTTGGTTATGGTTGAACTGAAGATGAACTAGTGCGTCCATAGGCCGGTGTTCCGAAATGGATGATAGAGGAAGCGGCGGCGGATCATTTGTGGCAGTTAGAAGGATTTCGCAAGGGCTTGATAGGAGCAACACTTTTCAAACAAGTTCAGGTATATTCTACTATCATCGGAAAAAGACATTCGTTTAACTTCATTCAGAGCAGAACTGTATCAGTACTTATTATGTTTCTCTGTCAGGAGTTAATTTGTAGAAGTTTGGATCTGTCTCGATTGAATTTTAGATGATTACTTGCATTGATTTTTGTGGTGAGTTGTGCTTGCTTACAAGTGTAAATTTTACCAAACTATCGATTGTGTTTCCCCTTTTTCGTCAACACTTTCTGAAATTTGGAGAACTTAATCAGGAAATTTGAATGAGATGTCAAGTTTGAATTCTTGTCAAATAAGGGGCTTCAGTTAGAAACATCAGTTTACTCTAATGAAAGAGAAGATTATACGTTATAGTTATGATTGATTGTGCATCTGTTTTCTTGTAATCTAGGCTCTGCCATTGGAATAGTGCAAAAACAACTTCAAATCTAAACCCTAATTACATAGTGCTTAAATTCCATTTTGTTTGTCAAGTGAACTTTGAATATGGATTTGTTCTTGCATTTAAACTGGATCAACTTCATCTTCAGGAGGCAATTAGAAATTAGAATATGTTCATTCTCTTTTTATCAAACTATCATCTTCAGTAATGTTGAATGTGTCTACTAGCTGATTGATTCTTTTACATTATAGGAACTGAACTTTGCTTTAAGTTTGTAACTATAACCATGAACATTTCCATTGTTTCTCTATCATTATAGCTGAGGTTGCAGCAGGGTCAGCAGCATGGCTTGGTAGAGGCCTTTCATGTGTTTGTGCTCAAAGAAGAGAAGATGATTCTCGCCAGTCTTTTGATTTGACCCCTGCCCAGGTTCTCTCTTAAACCATTCAGCTTCATTAATAGTTGAATACAATTCATTTGTTTGTAACGTTTATCCCCATAAAGCCCATGCTTTTAATCATCATTACACAACTATTATCAATGTGTTATGGATGTTTGAATCTGATACTTTTTTCTTGGATCATGACAGGAGGATTGCTTAATGAGGCTGCAAAACAGATTAGACATTGCCTATGATAGTTCAATTCCAGAACATCAGGTACACATGAATTTCAACTAATCAAGATTTAGTCTAAAAAATGAAGTTATGGTCTCATTTTCTATATTTAATTGTTGACTTAGGAAGCATTGAGGGCATTATGGGAAGCTGCATTTCCTGAAGAAGAGCTCCATGGTCTAATTTCTGAGCAGTGGAAGGAAATGGGCTGGCAAGGAAAAGATCCTTCCACTGATTTTCGGTAAAAAAAAAATCTCTTTTATTTATTTATATAAGAAATGTTGATTTTATGCATTCTTAAGAAGTTGAATTTCACGATAGGGGCGGTGGGTTTATATCATTGGAGAACTTATTGTATTTTGCGCGAAATTTCCCGGTATATCTTCTAATATAATAGCTTTTCATTTATTTGTAATAAATTATAAATATAATATTAGCTTTTGGTGTTAAGTTACTGTATTTTTATTTATTTATTGCAGAAATCATTTCAAGATCTTCTTAGAAAGCAGGAAGGTGATCGATCCATGTGGGAATATCCTTTTGCTGTAGCTGGTGTCAATATCACATTCATGCTTATTCAAATGCTGGATCTTGAAGCAGGTTTCATAAATATAAAATAAAATTAGAAAATAAAGATTGTGATTTTTACAAGTTTCATAAATATATAATAATAGTGTTCTCTTTGATTCAGTAAAACCAAGGACTTTAGTTGGAGCTACCTTCTTGAAGTTTCTTTCAGGTAGGTATATTTTATACACATTTTAATCTTCATTTATACAAAATTTTGCCTCATTTTCAGTTATTAATTTTGTGCTCCAACAGATAATGAGTTGGCATTTGACCTCCTGTATTGCATTGCGTTCAAGTTGATGGATCATCAGTGGCTTGCCATGCGGGCGTCTTACATGGACTTCAATGTATGTAATTTTTTTTTTTTATTTCTATATCAATAACAATAATATATTAATTAAAAGTTAAATGAAGTGATATTTAATTATTTATTTATATATTATATACAGGCTGTGATGAAATCAACACGACATCAACTGGAAACAGAACTGTTGGAAAAATATATAACAAGGCTTGAAGAGTTGCCATCTTACATGCTGCTTACTCAATAACTACTAACTAACTAATGGTTAGTTTGTTTGATTCAAGGATATTATTAGTTGCAAGGTATGAAGATTAATTCTCATAAAGTAGAAGAGAGTTTTTACTATAATCCAATGTATTGTTTGGCATAATATCATGTTTGCTTTGGTGCATGACAAGGTGATTTTTGGTTTTACTAATGTTGTCAAGGTGTGACTATGAATAATCAATCTACTTAATCAATGTGTCAAATGTTGTAAACAAATAGAATTGTTTGGATCAGCTTCATTGTGTCTAGTTGGTTGTCTTGGCACTAAACTTTACGTGAGAATGTTAAAAGTGTTCTTATGTTTAATGGTTAGTTACTTGCCTATGAATGAAAAAAAAAAACATCTGTTTTTGTCCAATGGATTGAAGTGGATAATTCTTTGTAAGAGTTTGATTCATTTTATTTTGTTAATTTCCATTTTTTTAATCGGTTATCAAATGAAATGAAAATATATAATATAACCTACTATTTTATGTATGCATTTTTAGTGCCACAATTTAAGCTCAAATTTAGATCTTGGTTAAAACCGATATCATTTAAAGGATAATTGTATGAAAGCAGTTTAAACTTTAAAGGATGAAAAGAAAAACAAAGAGACGGAGGGCTTATAAGTTGGGGTATGTCTGGGGGATGGAATGTAATTACAAAGAAATGGAGTAAACTACATAACAAAATGAGTAAAGTTAATTGAGTAGATCAGCATATTTCATTGAACAATTAAAGTAGGGCAGGGCCTAAGAGATTTAATGTCAAACCAAGATTCATATACAAAATACTAAAATAGTAAAAACTAAAACAATGACTTATAATTGGAGGTCATGAGGTTTCAAAGAAAGGAACTTGAGTAAAATGACCACATTGAAAGCTTTCGTATTACCACATAATAACAATTTTTTGAAATTTAAGAAAATAACCAACAATCTCATAAATATATGCTAAAAAATTCACGTATATGTTGATTCTGACATAAAGGGCGCTCCACTAAACTTTCGAAGTTACCATGTGTTCTTTGCATGTTATATTAATAAAACAGTCAACGACCCCATCTAACAAGACTCGATACCTGTTTGATACCTGTTTACAAGAAACTATTTCCTCATGAGTATTGATGTTTTGCTCGTTCCTGGCGTAAACTTCAACCATGCACACTAGATTCATAATTTCTACTTGTTAAGTCTCGTGTGGACCTCTATTTCCATCTATTTTAAGGGTTTGGTCATCATATATTTAGACTTTTGTTTGGTTATTTCAATGTAGTTGTTGGAGTTCTTCGAATTCTAAGTCAATCGTTATTTTTTTGAGTTGATTGTGTTTCTAACTTTCTATTAATCGACACTGGCATTCCCCCAAGTCGATTCTAATTGTTGGTGCTTCGCCACCTTTACGTTATTACTTTATGTGTTTAAGATGAATGCCAACATAGAAGAAGTAACAAAGCAACTTATAATGATCTCTAAGCGTGAAGGATGAGAATCCCTCCTATGAAAAACCTTAATGTTGCAAAGAATGCCCGCTAAGTAGCATTAAGGTTTAATCCATTAAAAAGGAAGGCCACAAGAATGACCCCAAGTAGCATAAAAGGGAAGAGCAACCCTCCAAGGAAACAAGAAAAAAACATAATCCTACAAATAATGTCCATTAGGTAGCAAATAGGCCACAAGAAGATGCTCAATAACAACAACAAATATGTTTTTTTTATAGTATATGCATTGTTGGTTCGTTATTTAGTGTTACACCCCCAAACCAGAACGGCGGAAACGTTCGGGGGCGGAGGACGTCATGTACAGTATCACAACAATGCATAATAGTAAAACAAGCAACAACATCATCCATTGCATTAATAGTATAATTTTAATACAAGTGTGTTCTGTATAGTTTATAAGACACCAAAATATGAATCAAAATAAAAGACGAGTCTTGAACGTGCTCCGTCTTCTCAAAACTTGGTCATCGGTACCTGTCTACTGGTGACCTGAGAATACAAGTTATTTTGAAAGCGTAGATCAACATTAAAGCTGGTGAGTTCATAAGTATTTAATGTCATTGTTTGTATAAGTTTGAATGAAATGTTTGTAAATGTTTGTTGTAAATGTTTGAATACTTCCTAGAAAATCCTATATTTTCTACTAAAGTAGTCTTCTACCAAGACCCGACTGTTTTGTAAGTTTGTTTTTTTTGTAAAAGTGAGTGTTTTTCCCAAGTATGACTATCATTACCAAAATATAGTTTACATTACCGTTTATGTGAGAAGATCACAATATAAATGTAATGGGAAAATGACGGTATACAGTAGTATTGTATATAAGTAACTATAGATGTACTAACTACCTTAAACCTGTTTGTTTAATTAAGGTAAAATGTGATGAGATTATAACCATACTTGATTGACTAGTAAGACACGACGTTCAAGATGCCGAAATGGTATGACATTCGTCACCCGTAGACCTGCAGGTCCCACTGTAGCTAGCAGCAAGGTGCAGGATGGTCAATCTCGTATAGATCTATACACAAATTCACGCTCTCCCTCTAGGAGACTCTGGTTACAAAACGTGACACGACAATATATTGCCGCGCCATGAAGTAGTGACTCACATAAATGTTATCTTGTTATTGTATTAGTGTAGTATGTTTTCTCTGTTTCTAGTATATAGTATGTTCTCTCTGTTCTAGTGTATAGTAGGTTCTCTCTGTTTCTCATTATAGTATGTTTGAACTGACTCATGTATGAACTGACTCTTGTATGTTTCATTGTTCTAGAAATAGTAAGTAGTGACTTCCTAAACTATACCAATTATAGTTTACTAGTAAAGTTGTTAGAATGACTGAATATGTTTGAACACCTTTGCTACCCAAAGGTATTAAACTGAAAGAAAGAACTTTTATATCTATATACATATACATAATATATAACTAAGATTCAAACGACATTCGGACAAACAACCGAATACCCTAAGTCCACAACCAAACAAGGAACAGGAAATAAGGCGAGTTATCAGTCCTAAGTCCTTTCAACCTTATTTATATAACTATATCCATATAGACATGATTTTGACAATATATAAGTTTAAAAGAGTTTAATAAATAATTTAACATATAAAGAGTTTTAACCATTTGAATGGCTATAGATGACTTGATGTCAGTTTATAAAAAGGTTTTTGAAACAGTTTGATAACACAGTTTTGAAGAATAAGAAATCTACTTGATTGGTAGTTATTAATCACATGTGATTGATATAATAACTATAATGTTTTCTACTTGTATTCCCCCCCCCCCCCATAAAAGCATTTAAAATCATTTAAAAGATAAGTTAGGGGTATGAACTCACCTGTAGTGAGTGATACGAATGTAAGATCGATATAGGATGCTAAGTGTCAAGTGAAGCCTCGAGCACAAACGGATCCTATTAAGCATATAATGACACATATATGTATATAATTAGTGTATATACAACTAATCATGCAAGGAAACCACCCTAGGGACTAGGAAACACTTAGATTGAAGTGTATCAATCACATATGATTGCACTTAATGGTGTGTTTATGTTGGATTAATGTCTAAGTCCATAACTATATTTGATATGTACTTGACCCGACCCGGCATTGTCCATTTGGGTTGCACTTCACCGGCATAATTTATATGGATAGTCTTTTGAGAATAGTATATTTATGATTTATATTAATATATTATAAGTTCTAATATATTAATATAGAATCATATTATTTAATTAGTATTGATCAAGAATTAATTTTGAATTAATTAAGTGATCAAAAAGAACTAATTAAATATGGACTCTTATATATATGGAATGGGCCAAATTCATTTAGGTTGGGCTAAACTTTCATGGATGGTCCATGGAGCTTTTAACCCATGGATCCTATGTAAATGAAAGGTCATGGGTATTAGGGTTTACATGGATGTAACCCTAATCCTCCATAATATATAAAGGGGTCCTTGGCTCACAAAATTGGCACAAATGTGTGAAAATAAGAGTGAGCCGATTTTAGTGCGCATACATATTCTCTCAAGTTCTTCCAAGGTGTTTTGGTGATTTGTGATTCCATTTGAGGCTTCCACACTATTGGGGCTAAGCTCTTAAAGCTTGAAGACATCAAGCTACATCAAAAGGTATGTCATCTAACTAGAACTTTGTAGTATAGGTGCTTCATAATATGCTAGTTAGGATGAAACCTTGGAATATTTAATATTTGCATGTATAATAGAGAAAACATAGATCCAAGGTTTATAGGGTTGCATGTACACCATAGGAGTGTTAGAATGCTCAAAGCCCAACAGTGGTGTCAGAGTCATGGGTTGTTTTCTATTATATTTGATGCAAATGTATTTTTTTTTCAAGTTGAAGGAAAAAAAAAGGAAAAAAACATGAAGTTTGTCATATTTTAAGATAATTACTTGATTTTATGAAAAACTAATTATTTTTAAAATTTGAGTCACTTTACTATATGAGTTGAATTAGGTCAAATTTAGTAAAAGATAAAATGATATGATTATTTTATTAGTTTTAAAAGTTTGATCTAAAGAGTTTTTTGAAACCTCCATAAGTTATGGATATGAAAAGGTTTTAAAAAAAATTGATTCAAAGTTTTTTATGGAGTTACAAAATTTGGTCTTAATGTTTTAAAATTCCATAACTTGTTCTTAAGTTATGGAACATGAAAAGTTTTTTTGTGTTACCTTGTTTTATGAGTTAATTTAGATTGATGAAAAATATTATTTGTTAAGTTGCTTTCAATCCATATTAATCTAAAAGAAGTTCATAAAAGGTGTTTTTGTAACTTTTCTTCAAGTCACATAAAATGTCATATTTATGAATCTTAAAACTCATAAAAGTGCCATAGGTTACACAAAAATGAAGAGTTTTTTTTTTTCATTAAACTATTTTATGACTCCATAACTTGTCCTCAAGTTATGGATGTTTAAGAGTCACTTCTTTAAAAGTGTTATTAAAGAATAAGAGGTTACATAAAAATGAAGAGTCTTCATTTTAATGAACCATTAAACTCATAAGTTATGAAATGAAAGGTTTTGAATAGTTTCAAAACTTGCCCTCAAGTTTTGGAATTTGTAAAGTCTCACACACATTAATGCTTTAATTCCAAACTCTACAATTTTAAAAGTTAAAATTCAAACTTTATGGACTTCATTAAATT